ACCGTATAGGTACTATATTATTATCATACAGTTTATTGTCCAGATAAAATTCAATTTAAGATGTATCTATCAATATTGTGAACCAACAATAATGAAAACTTGTTCAATTATTTTCCTTGAGATCGGAAAAACGCAATGTCAATCGGGTGACTCTGCTTCAAAAAATAAATAAGTAATGAACATTGTAATTGTCCAAAACACAACTTTAATTTGGAAAAAAAATATRATCAAAATATAAAAGCCAKAGACTTAAATCGTTTAAAAAMACACGAATAAAAAGCAKCAAAATCAATCATTTTGGACACGATGAACTCATTAGATGATATACGAAATTATATATTTTTATCAAATTTAAATTCAAGGAAATCAGTTGGTATATAGAATATAGATAAATCGTATAGGTAGATATCTATTGTTTTAAAAATATTTGCGGTAACCAATAGCGATTTTTTAAGAATTTAAAGCAATAATAACTAATTATAGTATACCATATAATTGACATTTTACATACATTATTATAATATTATTATTATGGAGTTGGATTCACGATATTATTATGTTGATTTTTGTTCAATATTATCGGTATCACTTGGTAGATAGCGCCTCCCAGGATTTTGAAATGTTCAATTTTTTCTTTGTGAAACAAAACTTAATGTCATAAGAATTGTATAAATGTTCTTAAGAATTGCTTAGCAATTGCATGATGCATTTTATTCGGTATTATAAAGTGTTTAAATTCGTCAATATGGTTGCTGAGACACTATTGTATGTCTAGCTTTTGATGGATCCTATGTTTGGATAGTAATAAGTATAATAATTAAAAATTATATAGGTACTAATGCAAAGTTAAATTAGGTAGGTATCTGTAATACGCAGAACCATAATAATATTTCTAGAGTGTTTTCATTGTTCATTATTATTATTATTATTATTATTATTATTATTATTAATATTATGCTATGAAAATAATCAAGATTAGTCGTACAATAAAACGTTTTGATATACGCTGCTGCAGTGAGACTTAGTATACCGAATTTCTGTTCACTCTACGCCATAGTATCATATTGTACACAACGACAATATTAAATAAAAACGGACGCATAACACATATTATACCAACTTACTAATATTATAAATATAGTTCGAGCTGCGACGTTTTCGCTTTGTGTGGAGACGGCAAGWTATAGCATTTTATCACTATTCATATAGTAATACGACGACGTAGTGCCTATAATATGATATGTCTCAGATGACATTGTGGTTTTAGTATAAAAAATGTTGACATCTTGTGACACATTAAGTGTACAGACTTAGTGCCAAATTTTCTGTAAACCAGAAAACTGTCTGTACGAAGAAAGTGTTTGTATAAAATATTTAAAAAAAGGATTTTTTTTCATACCCCGTACGTTATACACGTATAACGTCGGTTAAATATTAATCCATMTAGAATATCATGTACATGGTTGATTTATTTTTTATAAAATATTCAACTAAGCATAGAGGTATATTATGTTATTATATGTACCTATAGGTATTAAAATATCGTATGTGTGTCTCGTAGATTTCAAAWAAGTWAACAGCACTTTTATAAGGAAAAAAATTYCCAAGGAAATAGAGAAAAAAATTTTAATTTCATTCATGAAAATACAGGAAAACTAATATTGGAAAGTACATTGAATTCACAAGTATATAAAAATAGCATATAACTAATATGAATATAATGCAATTTAACTCACTTTAAAGTGAATTTAAAACCTCGAATAGCTTTTAGATTCTGAGCGGAGCGAGGAATGTATTGACTTTATTATGATGTGTGTTGTTTTTTTTTTTTTGTTTATGCCTGTTATCACGTTTTGGAGCAGTAAGAGTGCTTCGATTTTCAACTTCAGGACCTCATTCAATCAGAAAGTGAATCTAGTTGGTACTTTGAAGGGTCCAAA